ACCTCAGCCCCAAACCCCTAAACCCTAAACCCCTAAACCCCTAAACCCCTAAACCCCAAACCCCTAAACCCTAAACCCCTAAACCCTAAACCCCTCAACTCTAAACCCTAAACCCTCAACCCTAAAGCCCCAAATCCTACTTCCGGCAAAGCCAGGGGAGCGGCCCCCCCCTGCGCTTCAGAGTGCGAAGTCTGCTGCCGACCTACGGTGCGATGCTCAGAGCAAGCGCAGGGCTTCGGATCGGTTTGAGGGTTTAGGTTTAGGGTTTAGGGTTTATGGGCTGTAGCCGAATTCCGAAAAGACCTACTTTTTAGTTTTAGGGTTCCTTTCTATGGTTTCTATGTGTAGTTCCTGAAAGGTAGGTCTTTTGGGCCACAGGTAGGGTTGGGATTTGGTGGTTAGGGTTTCGGGCTTAGGGCTTGTGAGGTAGGCTATGTACTATAGGAGCCTGAATACTAGTGAGATTCTTCCGGGTTCCTACCATGCCCCCAACCCTATTATAAGTGGTAGGGCCCTTGTGTAGCTGTTGACCGATGGTTAGTGTAAATTACTCCTAGAAAGTAAGCAATGGATGCTACTAGCGAGGCCCCGCAAACGAGGATTTTTCGTTGATCCGGGGTCTACATCATGGGTGGAACCAGAGTTTGTAATTGAGGGTTGAGAGCTCAGCAGGAAGGTTTTGGTTCGGAAAATTTCAAGGCTGGGAATGCCCCATCTGGACAAGCAGAAGGGCCTCAGTAGAGAGCTACAGTCAGGTCTCATGATTCTTAGATTGGGGGGGTTTGGGCTCGGTTCTCAGCACCAACCCTTCTGGGCCTATTTTACTTCTTAAGGCCCCTATATTATAACCCTCGACCCCGAATCCCGGCAAAGCATTTTCTCAGCTCGAAGGCGCCCAGGAAGTCTGGCGACAGGCAGCATGGGGCGGGCTAGGGTGAGATGGAGAGAGGGATTTCATTATGCAAGGATATGAGAGGACCAGTGCGACCAACCCAAGTGAAGTAGCATGTGCTGTTGGCGATTCTGTCCTTGAAACGGAAGCCATAGATTGCTCGCTTGAAGTAGACTTCGTGATTGGATTGGGGCCTCCCAGGCCCTCTATAACCTGATACAACCTGAAACCCTGCAGCCACTCCAAAGCCCGCAAACATGATGGCTCTTTAGGGGAAGCTTTGAGGTTAGGATTAAGGTCTCAGCGCTTTAAGGGTTTCGAGCAGCTTGCAGGGTTTAGTGCAGTGTATACGGGGGTTCTTGGGATGTGGCCTCACTTCACCAGGGAAGGGCATGCGGAAAAATGCAGGAGCCAGATGTTTGGCGACCGGCGCCTTGCGCTGAAGGGCCTGTTTAAGATTGCGAGGTTTTCCGTTTCGGACAGGATGTGGGAGCTGCGAGTTGTTAGTCGATGAAAGCTCCCCCCCCAAGCCTTAGGCCCGGTTGGTGTAGGCTTGTAGGGAATCGTTGGATCGTAGGATGCTGTTTGCTCTGCCAAGCAGAGACATTCAGCTCGGATCTTGCGTGGGGGCTTGACGAGATCCTAAACCCTAAGTCCCTGAACCGCTGCAACCCCAAACCTTACCTGAACCTCTGAAACCCTAAACCCGAAGTGCCTGGACCCTGAAACCCTAAACCCCAAATTCCTGAACCCTGAATCCCTAACCCCCGAACCCCTGAAACCCTAAACAATAAATCCCTAAACCCTTGAAACCCTAAACCCCACATGCTACTTAGACTGGGCCCAGGGACGATGCAGGGTTGGGTGCAAGCTCCCACGGCTTTGACACACATCTGGGATCCACGCAGAAAGGTCGCAAGTTCTTTTCACCTTCAAGGATGGTTATGGGCTTAGGGTGGAGGATCCTTTAGGGTTTCTGGGCTCAGGGTTTAGGGTTTCTGGGCTCAGGGTTTAGGGTTTTGGGGCTTGCAGGGCTTAGGCTGGTTGAGTTTAGGGTTTCGGAGTTTAGGGTCTCAGAGTCGAGGGTTTAGCGCTGGTCTTTCTGGTCGATACTTCCCGCCTATGATCGAGCAGTTGAACAAAGCCTCTTTTGCTGATGAATGATCTGAAGCGGGTCCCGTGATGGTTCTTGAGAGTGTACTGAGGAGCCACTACAAGCTTCTGAGATCAACGGACAAGGACAAACTATAAGGAAGGAATGCTCTGCACAGCAGGTTCGCCTTGGCATCATTGGTGAGCGGTCCGTCCTTGGTCGCCTTATGTGTCTAGGCATCTCGATGTCCCTGGATTGGAAACCGTGAACCTTCAACCCGAGTTTAGGGTTTAGAGTTGAGAAACCGTGACCGTTCAACCCGAAGCCGCACGATGTGCTGCAGAATTATTCTCGAAGCCTTGCATGATCCCATGGCCGTCCGGCAGGGTTGAGGAGGGGTTTAGGGTTTAGGGTCTGCAAGCACTGAGCTTGAAAGACACAGTCCTGAACCCTCGACCCCAAGCAAAACCAATACCCCATACCCTAAACCCTCCTGATGAAAATTTGGTACCGGGATTCCCTTTTTTATCCCCCTATATTCATTGCCATACAGCTCCCTCAGCCCTAAACCATCCTAAACCCAACAACATGAGTTACATGAACCTCATCATAAAACCCTATACAAAGTCTTCAGAGTCCTGCAAATGTGTTAGTTCTCATGGCCACTGTTTTTTTCGATAAGGGCCTCGGACATTATGTTAATATACTACTACTACTGTTATAATATCTTATCACATGATTTTGTTATACATTATTAGTGTAATGCTGTATACTATATATATATATATATATGTATATATGTATACATATATATATATATATATGTATATATATATATATGTATGTATACTTTTATACAGTATCTACGGAAAGAGCCGCCGTCTCGGAGCATGCAGCCGCCAAAGATCCGCGAGCTGGACCTCGAGGAGGCCATGGTTTCAGGGCTTAAACGGCCTTGTGGTTTAGGGTTTAGGGTTTAGGGTTGAGGGTTTAGGGTTTTAGGGTTGAGGGTTTAGGGTTTAGTTTCATATGGGTGGTTGTCAAAATTAGGGTCCCTTTTTGGGTCCTTATTATAATACGGCACCTATTACTTAGGGTACCCCGAAAGGGACCCTAATTTTGACAACTACCCATAGGGGAGTTTCCGAAAATGTGGGGTACTTTATTTTGGGGTCCTTATAATAAGGATAGGTACTATATTAGGGTCCTTTTTATACGGGTGCCGTACTATAGTGGGGATCTAGATGGTGGTTTAAAAGGTACTATTGTACTTTACTAGTCTTTCAGTATGATGGGGGGTTTATATTAATATTAATAAGTGTTAGAGTCAGTACTTTATAGGCTTTTAGAGTTGGGTAGCTGTCAACCCTAAAGCGGCTCACCCTATAAGTTCGAAAGCCCTAAGTTCCTGAAACCCGCCTGTCCTCAAGGTCTCCAATACCCTTACGAAGCCTTAGGCCTCCCTTAACAAATAAGGAGTAGAAGTTTCTGAAACTTGGAGGTTTCCTTGTAAAGCCTGATGCCACGGTTTAGGGTTTAGGGTTTAGGGTTAAACTTCCAAGTAGTAATACTACAAGAAGCCTCCGCGGCGAAGGGCGTGGATGCCTCCGCCGCCTTCACCTCAGCTCCCGTGGCTGCCCTTCTCCAAGGCCGTCCTTCGGTGTTTGGGTTGGGGTTCCTTTGAAGGCCCCTGCAAAGGCTACTACCAGGGTTCTATGATAAGATTCTACAGGGGGCTCTGAACTAATTATGAGGGTTCTATACGTGTTACGATGACGGTTGCTGTGAGGGGTCTTTGCGGGCAGAAAGGATCTAAAGCCAATGCCCTTTGACCTAGACCAGAATGGAACATGTCGGGTTTGGTATCAAGCTGTATTATGGTTTGGGGTCCTTGTTTGTATAGTTGGGGGTTGTAGAAGTTTGGGATTGGAGTTTATGAATCAGGCCCTGTGTTGAAACAGGTGGGTTTAGAAGCTGGCTAGTCACTTTGGGGTAAAGGGCGGAGTTCCAGTTTCTCATAGGCAGGTAGGTTATTGTCTTGAAGATATGAAGGCCCTTCTCAACTTTAGCCCTATACAAGCCTGTGTACAGCCTGTATCAGGCCTGTATCATAAAACCCTCCTAAACCCTAGACCCTAAACCCACTCAGCACCTTCCTGCTTGTAAAGCCTCGAAAGTTGCCGGAGGTTTCGAGAACGGTCAGGATGGCACACTGGTCCCTCGGCTGTCTTCGTTATGTTCACAACTAAGGTTTAGGGTTTAGGGTTTAGGGTTTAGAAGATGGTAGGCTTGAGGGTTTCAGCCTTCAGAGGTGAAGGTTTAGGGTTTAGGGTTTAGGGGTCCTGGGCGTAGTAGCAGAAGTTTCGGAGTATGGCCTTTCGACTGCTCCTGGGCAAGGGGGAGATGAACTTTGGCAGATCTGAACCGTCCAGTGCTTCTTGCCGATCGGGTCTTCACACTCGCAACATCCCCTCAAAAATCCTTGTGTGCTGCACTGATGTCGTCTTGATATCGTGCTGGCTATCCCGAAGTATATTGTCCTTGCTGAATGCTCATGCCTAGGCCAGCGCTGCGTGTAGAAAGTTGTAGAACCACTGCCACGCGCATGATGGAATAGTTCGCACAGGCCAAGCCCTAATTTCCACGTCTCCAGCGAGACGACGTGCTGCCAAGACTCCCCAATGACCCTTCACCCGAAGCTTCGTTACTCGTAGGGTTCTGAAAGGATTCTCTACCCGCTGTAGAGGTGGCACCCCCCCGGTTCCGGTAACTCGATATCCACATTGACATTCTTTCAGCGGTGCCTGGCCGTGCCAGGTAGTCTGTGGTCCCGAGCGAGCACCTGGGTGAAGAAGGAGTGTGCTTGATACAGCAGCCGGTTAAGTTAACTCCATTCGGGGTTTAGGGCTTGGGGCTCAGGGTTCAGGGCCTCGGGTCTAAGGTTCAGGATTGGTGTTCAGGATTGCGGTTTGTACATTACAAACCAACACCGGACCGTTCATACACCAAAGAGGACCAGCATGAACTTCAATCACGCCCAAAACGAGGGGCAGCCAGACATGCCCGAAACATGAGTTCTGCCAGAAGGCCCCCTAAACCCTAAACCCTAAACCCTAAACCCTAAACCCTAAACCCCTAAACCCTAAACCCTAAACCCAGAAGGTCCAAATCCTCGAAGCCCTGGAGCTCCGAATGCAACCCCTGAGGCCCGAACTGGCCTCGGGCCCCAAATACTTGAAGCCATGGAAAACCTTTCGTCAGATCCTATAGTAGTTTTGAGCTGAAAGCCCCAAGAAGCTCGTCAGATCTTATAGTATTTTGAGCTGAAAGCCGCAAGAATTTCGTCATAACACCTTGATGCCGCACGTGCTGCCCTTCCATTCAATCCTCACCTCTGCCACCCACGCTGCCCCTTCCAGCCTTAAGCCCTCGACTCCTCCAACCCCCAATCTGATCCCGAAGCGCCATGCCCTCAATTCCCGCCGTTTCGGCTCGAGTTCGTAGGGTTTAGGTCTTATTGAAACGGTCCCTAAATAAACCCTATAAACCTTAAACCCTATAAACCACAAACACTAAACCGTCGCTGCTTCCTTCTCAGGTGAGATCTCTGCTGGGTTCCACGGGATCTCCGGGTGTGCGGTCGCCCAGGGGATCAAGACGGGGGCCTCCCTAAAAATACAGGGTTTAGGGTTTAGGGGTTTCGGGTTTAGGGGTTTAGGGTTCAGGGTTTAGGGGTTTAGGGTGTAGGGTTTAGGGTTTAGGGGTTTAGCGTTTAGGGTTTGGGGTTTAGGGTAAGTTTGGGGGCCCATGTAACAATGTACCCTAAGCCCTAAATTCCTTAACTGAAAGCCCTAATAAATCCTAAAAGGCTACAAGCCAGGAGGGGTTTGTGTACGAGTTCCCATGCGGTTTTCCCATGCGGTTCTTCTTGGTTTTTTGTTATAGGGGTTGACTGAAGTTTGTATACTGGACCACAAGGCTTCAGGACTTCGTGGAAGGGTTTATGCGAGGAGCTGCATATAGGGCTTCGTGTTGAAGGTGTTAGAAGGTTTCTTTGGGACGTGGGCTTCAACAAATGGTGCCTGGATCGGTGAAGGTGATGCTTAGGAGTAAGGGCTGGATGTTTAAGGCTTGCCCTCTTCTCAGGGCCGTGGAGTTGAGATTTGCTGCTTCCGTTCGGAGTTCTGGTTTAGCCGGGGTTTAGGGTTTAGGGCTTAGGGATTTGATTAGGTTTTAAGGCTCAGTGATTTAATTAGGTTTTCAGGTCCGGTTTAAGATTTGATGTTTCAGTTTAGGGTTTCGGGTTCAGGGTATAAGGTTAACTAGCAGGTTTCAGGTCCGGGATCTCCC